AACCCCCCCCCCCCCCCGCACGCTGCTCTCCAGCCAGCTCGGGCCCTGCCTCATTCGTCTTCTTTTTCACCCTTCTCCCCTGCAGGTTTCAGCCCGCCAAGGCTGCACGAGCGGACGCTTCACCTCCCTTGGGGACTGCTGTGACCCTTGCCCCCCGGGCTATGGGGTGGCCGTCCCGTGCGGCAGCTCCAACACGGTGTGCGAGCCCTGCAGAGAGAGTGAGTAGAGGGGACCCAAGGCGGGGAGCGCAGGCTAATGGCTGGGCATGGGAATCCCGGATGGCCCTTTTGGCCGGTATCTCGCCTCCAGCAGTGCCCAGGGCCAGCAGTGACAGAGGGAGGTGCAGAGACCCACCCCAGCGGTCAGTTACAGGATCGCCCGGTTGCCATGGGGATCCTCTCTTCCCCCATCTGAGATGCAAGAGACCCGTCTCACTTTGCTCACGGCAGCCGGCCTAGTGCGCCCCACGCCACGGGGCATGGGCCGAACCCCTTGACGGGCATGCCCAAAGGGCACCCACCTCATCCCATTGCATCCCATTGGCCCCACAGCTGCTGCCGTGTGTGGGTGGCTCGGCCAGATCGGCAGGCCCAGGGACCTAATGCGTGTGAGAGAGAAGGGCAGGATGGGGGGGAGAGAGTGTGGGGAGGGGTCCTGGGATGGGGAGGGCAAGGAGATGCTGGGGGAGCTCTGGAGTGAGTGGGGGGGCTGGGGAGGAAAGCGATAGTGACAGATAGGCCCATGTAGAGAGGGAGAGGGTATAAGGAGGGGGCTTATAGGGTGAGCAGAGTGCAGCACAGGAAGGGACGTCTTGTGCCCTCCAGCTCCAGGCCATGTCCTCTTCCCCAGCCACCCCTCGGCCCGCTCCCCTCTGTTCCCATCCGCTATTCCTGGCGGGGCCCACACCCCGCCCTACCCAAACCCGGCACTTCTGCCCTGCAGCTGCTCTGAGCCAGAGCCACCCCCGCAACCCCGCGAGCACAGCTTGTCAGCCGTCCCGCAGCTGCGTGATGTGGACCAAGCGGCTGACAACCGGCCCAGCTCGATCCCCACATGACCTGAGCCAGGCCAGGGAGCCCAGGTTAGCGTTATTCCCCCTGGAGAGGACGTTCACCCAGCGAGAGGCATTTTGAAGCTGATCGGACGCGGTGCTGATCTAAAGGAAGCCACCTTCCAGCGTCAGCTGCCTGTCCGTCCAGACGCGCTGCTTGGGTCAGTCGCTAAACAGACAAGCCGTGTCCAGGACTGGCTCAGCTGAGCAAATCGTACCCCCTCCCACAAGCCTGACCGAGACAGCTGGGGCCAGTGCCTGGCTTGGAGACCTCCCTGGAGCCCCTGCAGTCAGCAGGAGAGGTGGTGTGGGTGACACTCCGCCCTTCGAGTCAGTTACTAGCACTGTGCTGCCTTTCGAGTGAGACGTGAAACCAAGGTCCTGACCACCCATAGTCATTGAAGGTCCCAACTCCGATAATCACATCCTGTCTCCTTAAATCCCCCTGCAGCTTTTCACCGGAGGGGTGGAGAGCTGTTGCTGTGAGCTGTTCAACAGCTGCTGTGTTCCACCTCAGAGGTGGCTGCATTTCATCAGCTGATAAAGACACCCCGGCGTATAGTTCATCAGTCCGTTTGTAAAATGCTTTGGGCTGTATAAATGCAAGCTGGTTAACATTAACGCACCCTACTAGAGCAGGGGTTCTCAAACTGGGGGTCGGGACCCCTCAGGGGGTTGCGAGGTTATTACATGGGGGATCGCGAGCTGTCAGTCTCCACCCCCAACCCCGCTTTGCATCCAGCATTTATAATGGTGTTAAATATATAAAAACATGGTTTTAATTTATAAGGGGGGGGTGGTACTCAGAGGCTTGCTATGTGAAAGGGGTCACCAGGACAAAAGTTTGAGAACCCCTGTACTAGAGGGTTTGGCCGCTTTTACCCACAATGCTTTGTGCAATGGTAATTCAATGGCTGAGTTCAGACATGAGCCTGTCTCCCCCTGGTGGCAGGTGCCTGTAACTATAATAGCCTGCTACCCGCAGCGGCTGGAGTTACTCCTCTGACTCAAGTGGCGGATGCTTGTGGTTCGGTTGCTGACAGGTGTGTGTTCAGTTGCCAGTGGCCGTTAGACCAGGAGTAGGCTCTGAGCTCAATGTCTCTTTCCACGGCAGATGGGACGTTCTCCTCCAGCAGCAGCGCCACGGAGCCGTGCCAGCCGTGCTCACGGTGCCCGGTGGCAGAGGCGTGTACCCCCACCCGTGACACTGTGTGCGCCCCCCAGTGCCCCCCCGGCCACTACCTGCACGCGGAAAACGGGACCAGCAGCCAGTGCTTGCCTTGCCAAGTGTGCGGACCGGGCTACGGGGCAGCGACGCCGTGCGGGCCTACGAACAACACCATCTGCCAAAAATGCCCGGAGGGCTTTTACTCGGAGGAGAAGAGTGACTCGGCGCCGTGCCTGCCCTGCCGGCTGGAGTGCCACAAGGACGAGGTGATGATCCGGGCCTGCAGCCCCGTGTCGGACACGCTGTGCATGGGTACGTACCGCACCGGCCGCTCTGGCAGGCGTGGCTGGCTGTATTGGAGAAGGCGGGCGAGCACGGGGTGGGGGGATCCGTGCAAGTGGCGAGCGAGGGGCGTGTGCTGACTTTTTGGGGTTGCGGTGGGTGTGTTGTGTGTTGAGTGGTACAAGGAGCGACTCAACCCAGCGGGGCCTGTCTCCCGCCTGTCGCTGACTCATGACAACCCCGGTAGCCGGGGCGTGCAAAGCGGCTGAGAACTTAAGTGCTGCGACTGGATCCACAGCCATAGGCCAGGACGCCTTTGGGCCAGGCGCTGTCCAGACACAGAAAGTCCCTGCCCCAAAGACCTGACAGGCTAAACTGTGTGTGTCCCCCCGCAGCCGCAGGGGAACAGTGTGTTGTTATTACAGCCCAGGAAGGACGGATGTCAGGCCATAGTCGCTTTCAGGGCACAATTTATTGGGTGAACAGAAAACTTAACTAAATACCAAACTAAAGGATTTCCTTTGCCCAACCCGGACTGCAGATCCCAGCGGTTCATCCCTCCCTCTCTTGGCCCCTCTGGGTCCAGGCACTCCTGCAGCAAACTTCCTGCAGTTCTCCAGCTCAGAGCTCTGGCTGGCCTTTATAGGGACTGACTATCACCTGACCCACCCCCAGCTGACCGGCTGGCTGACACCTTATGAATGAATTGGATTGTTGTTGAAAAATGGCATTAAAAATCAGAAATTTTGGTTGGAATTTTAAAAAATTTTTTTCCTGGGGATGGGATCGGATGAAATTAGAAGATTTAAAATGTATCTTTTTTTGTTTGTTTGGGTGGGTGGGTTGTTTTTTGGACTTTGGGGGTTGATCATTTTCCTCTTTCCCTCCCACCTTTTAAAAAATAACTGAAAGAAAGAAAGAAAGAAAGAAAGAAAGAAAAAATTTTCATGATGAGTTGCAAATAAGCAAAAAACCCCTGTCCCATTTCCTGGTTTGGAATCTGGAGAAGGAAAATGACCTTGATGCTTTTAGCACATTTCTCCCTATCCCGACCCCCCAGTCTTTTGTGAGCCACTCTGGTTAGGATGGGACCTGTCTTTTGCACATTGCTGGGGGCAGAATCTAGCTGTCTTGTCTTTAGCCTGAGACTGGCTTGGTGCGTTGCATTGGGATAGCCCAGCTTGCAGGGGTAACAGGGAGACAATGTCCCATCAGGGGCTCATTCCCCCTACCCTTCCCAGAAGGTCTTGGCATTGGAACAAAGCCACGTGTGCAGATTGGACCAGACCCTGGCCCAGTTTAGATCAACGGGAGCTTGGCAATGGGTCCAGGTAGGATTTGACTCAGATTGTCTTAGGTGTCCTCTTGAGACCTGCTTCCTTTTTCATTCCTCTCTGTCTTGTTCTCAGTTTTGCTTGTGCATTTACCGCTGGAGAAAGGTGCCAGGTTGGTAGCTCTGGAGACTGGAGTCCTCTCCCCAGAGAACAGAAAGCAGCGGGGTTGGCCCCCGTCACACCAGCCCTGGCCTGAGCAAACCACGGGTAGGGTTGAAAAGGGGCCTTCAGCCTTTGTAGCTCATTTGGTCCTTGGTGCCTATGTCAAAGGGTCTGATTAGCACTGGTGTCATTAGCTTTGCTAGGCTTGAGACCTGACAAATTCGTGTCAGTGCCCACCACCAGATGGGACTAATTGCAGGTCAGGACCAAGCTGGGCTGGATTTGAACCGGCGACAGAGGGCCCTGGGCAGGCATTTGGAGAGCACCGAGCTGAGCGAGGCAGGGATGAAACTCAATTCCCACATCATCATTCCCTGGAGCTGCCCCGTCCCACCTCTTCCGCCATTCACTAGAGCTATACTGTCAATGGGGAAAATACTCCTTGGGCAAGGAACATATTTGGGGCCTCCGTTTTTGGATGGCCAACTCGAGTCCCCTAAAAAGGACCCGATTCTCAGCCAGCAGGTGCACAGCACTCTCTGAAAATCAGGATTATCTAAGGGGTCTCAGACTGAGCCCCCAAATCACTAGTCACTTCTGAAAATCTTTGCCTGTCTGTCTGTCTGTCTAACCCCATACACACTGTCTGTCTGTCTGTCTAACCCCATACACACTGGCTGGCTGGCTGGCTAGCCCCATATAGACACTGGCTGGCTGTCTAGCCAGCCCTATACACACTGGCTGACTGGCTAGCCCCATATAGACACTGGCTGGCTGTCTATCCAGCCCCATACACACTGGCTGGCTGGCTAGCCCCATATAGACACTGGCTGGCTGTCTATCCAGCCCCATACACACTGGCTGGCTCTCTATCCGTCCCCATACGCACTGTCTGTCTGTCTGTCTATCTATCTAGCCCCCACACACCCACACTTGTTCATCTGTCTGAAGAAGGCAAGGCATGTTGCGGGGAAGAGGATCAGGGCCAGAATCGGAATGGGAGGCCAGAGCGGATTGAATCCAGCGAAACACTCCCACTCTCTCTCTTTCCATCGTCCTCTCCCTCGGGTTTTGTTTTAGAGACACAGTTGCTTTTTTGTCTGCGAGGACAGAGTCTCCCTTAGGTTGCCCTTAATCTCCCCTTTGTCCCGGTCGCTGCGTCTTTAATCCCGCTCGGCTGTTGCGGGGTGAGTATGTGGGCTTGTTAATGAAACTCTCTGAAGCAGAGTGTATTAAAGGGCTGGGTGGCAGCGCCATGCCGAGGGGGCAGCGCCAATCCCTTAAGACTTCATTGTCTCCCCGGTCTCTGCCTCCAGCTTCCGTGTGATCTCGTCCTCGCCGCTTTTGAAAGGATCCGGCAAAGGGGCGTTGTCATTCCAAACGCGGGAGGGGGCAGCGCTGCTGGAAGGAGGCAGCGTCCTTGGGCCCTGTTCACTTCTTAAGGGGCAGGGCGGGCGTTCGCGGGGGAGAGGCTTGTCCCATAATAGAACAGCGGGGGAGCCATCTCCGGTCAATGATATTATGGGAGCAGGATTGAAATCGACGCTGGTCCGAGGTCCAGGGCTTGCTATATCTTGAGAACCAGCAGGGCAACAAGCCAGTGCTTTCTGCTGCTAGAACTTTGGATTTCGAATGGCGTACGGCACTGATCTCCGTACCCCGGGCCTCACACAGGACGCTGGATAGGAGAGGGAGCATGGGGTAGTGGTTCAAGCAGACCTGGACTGGATCCTGCCACTGACTTGGGGCCTGATCCAAAGATTTTTTGGATGAGGCCCTTGGTGCATGACCTCTGGGAAGTCACCTACCCACTCTGTGCCTCAGTTTCCCTATCTAGGACATGGGGATGAAAGGAAAGTGCTTTGAGGCTCTTCGGCTCACAGGGGCTATGTACGTGCAAAGTATTGTGTACCGCTGGCTGCTAAAATTGTGTAGGGTGAAAGGCCAGTTGGGAATCAGAATGGCATGGCTTTTCATGTCCCACAATCCTCCAGGGCTAGCAGCGCATTGGCGGCCCCGGGACACATGTTTCCAGGTGTAGGCTAGTGATCGGGAAGAAGAAACTTCTGTCAGAGCAATGTGGGCTCAGGGGAGAGGTGCCTGCTTTGCACACTGCTCGAAATGACCAAGGTTGCGCGAGTGAACCCCAGCCCCTGTGCATTGCAGGTTTGGGGTCCAATCTCCAAAGTCCCTGCCCTAACTCCGCCCCTTCCCTGCCCCTATTGGACCCCTTCCCCAAAGCCCTGCCCCGGCCCCGCCTCTTCCCCCAGCGCACCACGTTCCCCCTCCTCCCCCGTCCCTCCCTGCCCAGCAAATCAGCTCTTTCGCGGCGCAAGCGCGGGGAGGGACGGGGGAGAAGCAGGACGTGGCGGCGCGCTCGCGGAGGAGGCGGAGGTGAGCTGGAGCCGGGGGGCGGGGCCACAGGGAGCTGCCGGTGGGTGCTGAGCACCCACCCATTTTTTTCTGTGGGTGCTCCAGCACCCACAGAGTCGGCGCCTATGCCCAGGGCTCTTCAAGAGTCCCAGGGAGTCTCTGCTGCGGTGATACCTGCAGCGGCATCGTCAGTTGTGGGCAGAGAGCGACTGACATGCTGGAGATGTGCAGAGCTGGAGGGGGACTGAGGCCCGGGGTTCAGCACTAAATGCCTGATCCATTGCAATCAGGGGCCGGGGCTGAAAGCCGCCCCCTTCCCCAGAGCTGGGTCCAGGAGCAGGGCTGTGTCTCCAGGAGGGGAGGGGACACGGACAGGGGTAAGGGGGCCGAGACTGGGGACAGCTGGGACCCCGGAGGGCAGGGGTAGCAACGGAGCCCCGGGTGCAGGCAGCGGAGCTCTGCGTAAAACCTGGGGGTGCTGCACCCCTAGTTCCCGCACCTGTGATCAGGGGGCATCTTTCCACTGACTTCAGTGGCTCAGGCCTTAGGGGAGGATGTCTCAGAAGGGGGTGGAGGTGGGGGTTTTCAGGGAGGGACGAATGGGTTGAATGACAAGCGATGGGATGAAATCAAGGCGAGAAGGAAAGGTCCCAGCGGAGAGAACGGCACCGTGTCATTTTCAGCTTGAGGAGAAATACCCAGGCTAGCTCCGATCGAGCCAGTGCTCTGAAAAGCGCTGAGCACCCCAAGCCCAGCCTGGCCGAGAGCCTCGTACATGCTCAGGGCAGCTCACGCTGCTGCGGCTAGCTGGCTAGTTTAGCGTGCTCACTCGACTAGAGCTAGCGCGGGTACATCTAGTGGAGCGGGAAATTGCGCCTTCCAGGTCTAGTGTAGACGTATTCTGAGCCCGTGGAGGGGTCCCCGTCCTTTACACTAGCCTGGATTAAACACCTGGAAAACGGACTGGGCGGCTCTTGGGCTCAGATATTGTCAGTGGCTTAAGAAAGCTTTTTCATCTCCAGTTTCTCTTGAATTCTGGAACATGGTCAACCTGGGAGGAGCAGAGCCCCTGAGAGGGGAAGGGTCACAACCTCTGACCTCTGAAATGACAATGCTTGTCCTTTTCTAGTTAGTAGATAATTAAAGTCTTCCCCCTCCCCCCAAACACCACACCGCACAGGGGTAGAAAAGACCAAACTCATATGCGCCTGTCGGTTTGAA